AAACTATAAGAAAATAGTTAAAATGTTGAAAAAAAAACTAAAAATTAACATTTTTAGCATTCTTTAGAAGATAAGATACTATATAATTGATAACAATAGTATAGAGTGAGTACCTTATTTTTTAACGTTCTCCATAGCGTTAGCAATAAGTTCACCGATCTCCATTCTCTACACATACACACTCTTCTTTGAGATTTTTTTGTTCATAGACGATAACCAAACGATCGTTAATTGTTTATATATTCTCACTGTCATGAAATATGGATGCAAAACATATGTTGCTTCCATCATGCTGATTAACTCTATAAATTTGATTCGTATAGAAAAGAATGAAAGAAGCATCCTAATTTTCAGATGTTGTTATTTTTGTCGTTTAATAAACATTTGAATGAAAGCACATTAATATATTCTTGTTAGGGAGGATAGAGTAATGGTAAAATTTGGAGGTACCATTGGTACCTCCAAGACAACACTCTAGCTTGAGTGGGCCACGAGGAGTGGGTTGTTTATGTAGCTTCACTAACCCGCTTCATCCTCTTTATCTCTCTTTCTCTCTCTCTCCTCTTGTACCATGTGTCTTAAAACTTATACCTTAGTTTTTTTTTTTGTAATTTTTTAATTGAGTGTATTGAGTGAGTTGAAAAATATAAGGTTTCCATGTGGTGTGGGATGGAAAAGATGGAAGAGATAAGAGAGGGAAAAGCTAATATGGTAGTGAGTTCATGAATGATGGTCTCCATATTGAATGGTAAAGATAATGTTATTAATTTAAAAAAAATGTTTGAATATAATAATCAATAATTTAAAAAAATTAACCCCTTTAAGTACACTATCAAATATAATCAAAAGCTTCGATTGTCCATCTAAAGCACTTACGACTCAAAATTTATTGAAATAATCGATGGCGTTAGCAAATTGAAACACTATCTGACTCTTACAATTCCAGACAATGAAAATCATAAATTTAGATCAAATACAATATTATGACATATTGAATAAGCATAATCAAAAGGTGGTAATTATGTTGTAGACACAGAAGGTAATAAACAATTTATATTAAAATGACCATTATACCCTTGCATCTTTCATAAGGAACCAAAAGTCAAAAATATTCGTTTGTACTCTTTAATAAAGTGTAATATTTAAATATTTACCAAATTATCTCTGATCATAGATAGGGCTGATCATACCTTGTAGTCATCACCTGTACAACATTTAAAAAATACAAGAAACGTTATAAAAAATAAACTATAGTTCTGATATCTCTTCTAAGGTACATATGATTATTGAAAGTAACACCAAAAAAATCTTCAATGTTCAAGTGGTTCTTAATACAACTACCCTCCAGTTTTAGGGCTTTCGACTTCACCCCAAACTCAAGTAGAAACGGGCCCTCAAATACTTTAAAAAACTTGAAAGATTAAAATACACAAAAAAAAAAAGATGAAAAGGGGAAAATGAACTTTCAAATCTAACAACAATATTTCATAGACAATACTACGAACAAGCTTGAAACATGCAAACAGAGATGAACGAACATCATAATTAGATTAACACCATACACTCAGTTAGTCTTATCTTTCTTCTTCCCTTATAGGAGTTTATAAAACATTTATATTTTTTGATGGATTTCAGAATTACTTTTTTTGAGATGTGCGAGGCTGCAAAGAATAAAACAACAAATAAATGGAAATGATAGGTAATCGTAAAATCCAGATAATAGAATGAGTAATTCCGTTCCAGAAACTTGTTTGTGAGGCATAGAACAGAACATAATGAAAATTTAATACGATTTTTATGTTATATATTGCAATTTAAATTATAAAGATAATCATTCACATATCTTTGTTTAGTTATTATTATGTAATTAAAAAAGGTTTATATTGCAACTTTTATACTAATGTCTTATCTTATTGCTGAGAAAACCTAGATACTGACAATGTTCCCAACCCTATTTTCAAGAGTGTAGGGTTTATTATACTTCTCAGTGTGCCCGGACAATGCAAGTACTTGCATATCATCAAGTTCACAACTAAAATGTATTCCAAAACACAAAAGAAAAATTAGAAATATGAGTTCTATGTATCTCTCATTTGAAAAAAAAAAACATAATAATATGTAATAGATAAATTAGAAGACAGTTTTTCCAAAATAAAAAAAAAAAGAAAAAGAAAACCCTAATATGTAACCAAAAGTAATCAATCATAAACATTTTCCAATAAGATTTATCGATGTAATCTATTTACATTGGTATACTAAAACTCTAGATGTTTTATAATATTAAAAAGGGATAGGTGAATATCTCCTTTCTGAGAGCCCAATTTGTGTTTTTATAAATCAAAACAAATATCACTATTGGGTTTTGCTGAGTTGTAGGATATGTGGATCACTCACTGGTATAAGGGTTTGAATTTCATCTCTAAATTCAGGAAGGGATCAAATAGGTAAAGCATTATAGACATTGACTCGGGTGTATCTTCCATTCACGATTTCGTAAGCCACAAAAAAAAATCATTGGCTAACGACATATACAAGAAAAGTAAAAATAAAAAATAAAATCGACATATACAAATTCACTATCCAGTGGATATATCTTCCAAATCGAAACAATGGATGAAAGGTAGTGGTGCTATTGTATCCATCCTTTTGCTCTTAGATACCTATAACTTAAAAAATCAAAATCAACAATACAAATCATAAGAAGGAAAATCGAAGCAGATTTAGAAAACGTAACCATTATTGATCTAAACATAAATCAAAAGGTTTTATAGATTGGAAATTCATAGTTGAAACAGAATAAAATAAACATAATCTAAAACTTAACCAAAATCAAGGTTTTAAATAACGTAAGACATGACTTAGCGGCAATATCAAGCCTCAAGATTTTCCATGCCTTGGCGTGCCACGTTGTTTGTAAGGTGTGACTTAAGGCATCAGTTTTGTATATAATTTCTATTTTTATATGTATTTTCAACCATTATTCATTTTTGTACACATATATGAGTTAAGACGGAATTTTGGTAAAACTTGGCGGCAGGTACAAGTCTTGAACCATGGCGCGCCATGGCGGAGCCATAACGAGCTTTTTAGAACCTTGACCAATATCGATCTAAACTACAACCAAATTAAAGTAAAATCCAAATAAATTTTATCTCTATATCATTCCTAATTCTTCCATGATGATCGAACACAAGATTGATCCATACAAATCGAAGCTCACAAGTATTCTATTTCTTCTTTACCCTATTTTCTTCTTCAGTACAAAACTTAAGTTAGATAGATTATGTAAAAAAATAAGGAGAGAGTGTATGGGTACTGGTAATAAGGGTGCGGTGGGGTATTTTTTTTTTTCATTTTATTTTTGGTGAGATTTAATTGTCATTAATAGAATTCCTAATTTAATTAATTTTACTTTTGATGAGATTTAATTGCTATTAATAAAAACCATAATTTAAAACGTAATATACGTTTTATAAATTTGGTAGACAAAAATAAAATAATTGTCAAAGATGATATCAGCAAATAATTCAATGGTGGAAAATATAGGATTTAAATGCATAGCTTTGATTTCTTCAATTTAGAATTAAAGGTTCTTTTTTAATTTTATATATATATATATATATATATATATATATATATATATATATATATATATATATATATATATATATATATATAGGGAAAAGTGAATATACCCTTAAGGGTATATAAGATTACGTATCCTAACTATCAAAACTACGTAGTTTTGTTAAATGGTTTAATTTTCTGAAAATAAAATAAAAAAAAAAAACAAATCAATTTACAGACGTGTTTCCTTATTCACTATCGAATTCAATTGGTCAATTTCTTTTTGTTCTATGATTTGTTGCATCACAATCCCTGAGGTTTTGAACGAAATAAAAAATTGACATTGATGACAAAAAAGATTTCAAAGAAATCGGAATTAGAAGTTATTTAATTGGAAATCACAGAAATCGTGAAGAGTTCAATTCACAGAAGACTTAAAAATCGATTTCATGGTCAATTCTTTTTGTTCTATGATCGACTCTGCTTCACAATTCCTGAGATTTTGAACGAAAAAAAATGACATCGATCATAAAAAAATATTTCAAAGAAATCGGAATTACAAGTGACTGTAATCAGAAATCACAGAAATCGTGAAGTATTCAATTCACAGAAGACTTAAAAAAATGATTTCAAAGGGATAACACATGTGAATGTCAATGTTACTGCTATAGCACTTTTACAATTCACCAATGATTTCACTTTCAACTACTATGTTGTTAAATTTACACTTCAGTACTCATATGTTGATTGTTTCCACCAACTAACTGATACATTATTCATTATGTTCATCATTATTGTATTACAAACAATATATTTGCAATATGATTATGTATTTGTTTTCTGTACTATTGCTTTGTCATTTGTAAATTTACAAATTTTCAATTAGGGACATAGAAAGCTGTTTTAAAAGTTGTTCTTTCAAATGAAAGAGGGAAATATGAAACACAAAGGATGATTTTATCATTGTAAAATACCTACAGAAAGTCCTTTCTTTTCATGTGGTAACAAATTAGTTAAAGCTTTACCAAACAAAACATCACAAATTCCAAAATATTTAAAAAAAAAATCAAGTCAACAGTATGTATAGAATTATACACTCATAATATACCAACTATGACTTGATCCCTTTGTCAATCTATTGTTGCTACAATGGCGTAATATACCATAAATGAAAGTATGCAGTTCCCACAAATATATTAGCAAATGATACTCATGTTTTGTTGTATTTCTTTAAGGGAAATCTCCGATACAGTCCCAATATTTTGGCCCAATTTATCGTTTAATCTCAACTTTTATTTTTTAAATAGAAACGTCCTGATTATTTTAGTTGAATTTATTACTTTTGATATAATGAAAAAGTGAGGCCATCTCTAAAAATTTATTGGCATGGAATTAATATGGTCAAGTTCTTATAGTCTTTTACTTGTAGTTTTATGGAGGCCATGGTGTTTGAAACCGAAGCAGTTGATCAGGCCATAGAACCGTATATAAATGAAAATGTTAACACAAACGATTCCATGGAAGCAACATATGAATCTGAAGAACTTAATGATTTCAGTGTGAAAATTGAAATTGACGAATATGATGTTGATGATGAAAGGATATTGGGAATGGTTTTTGATACACCCTATGATGCCTATACATTTTATAATGATTATTCGTTTTTGCATGGATTTGTTATACGTAGAGATGACACAATTAAAAATCCTAAAACAAATGAGCCTTTTCGAAAGATATATGTATGCAGCAAAGAAGGTTTCAAACGGATGGACAAAAATGATTCAAGTGAAAAATGAGAAAAAATGTCCTAGAGATGTTAGAACCGGATGTCAAGCTAAGCTTCGAATAACAAGACAGGAAGATGGAAAATGGTTGGTGGACTCGTTTAATGACACATAATCACGACTTGACCATGACACCTACGAAGTTGATGAAGCATCGATCTCATAGCAATTTCCACCGTTCAATAGAAGGTAAATCTCTTATGGTGCAACTTGGTCAAGCAAGGTTAAAACCTTCTCAGATTAAAAAGGTTGTTAATAGTGAAAACCTCAAATGTACCTGATGTAACTTCAAAGCAATGTGCTGATGTTTTATCTGAGCATCGAAAACAACATAGAGGAAAGGAGTTTTATGGGCTTAAAACATTTTCAAGATAAAATATTAGTTGACAGTGACCAATATTTTATCATGGATTTTTCTGATGATGGGTATCCTAGAATGATCAAGCAAATCGAAAAAACTCTATGTCTTTGGAGAATGCATCTCCAAGTTCTTGTATGGGAGTTTCACAAGTAGATATGGTGCCACAGTTATCTATCTGTGATCCTCTTGGTCCAGTTACTACGAAAGGGCATCCTAAACTTGCAAGTAGAATCAAGTCTTCGTTAAAAGCCCCTAAAAAACGAACATGCTCTTACTGTCAAGGATTGAGTCATTATGCCACTAGTTTTTCAAAAAGAAAGGTACTTATAAGAATAATTTAGTTTTCATGATTAAGTACTCTAATAAGTATATTAACAATTTTTTTTCATTATCAGGCGGATGAATCGTTGCAAGAGACATAATGACGAGATGTGTTGTTTCTGTGGGCAAAAGAAAAACTAGATGCTTCATGACATTTTTTTTGGTTAACTGCATATTTTCATGTTTTAGACACAAACAATGTATGAAACTATGAATAATCTAGAAGTTATTGATGTTTCTTAACAATTTAAATGTTTTCGAATGAAATATGTTGATTGTTTGTGAAAAAAATACGATGGTATTTTGTGAAAAAATAAATTTATGAGGGTATTTTGTGACAAAAACAAAAAAACGATGGTATTTTGTGAAAAAAAAAACAAAATTATGAGGGTATTTTGTGACAAAAACAAAAATACGATGGTATTTTGTGAAAAAAAATTATGAGGGTATTTTGTGAAACAAAACAAAAATATGATGGTATTTTGTGAAAAAAACAAAATTATAAGGGTATTTTGCGACAAAAACAAAAATACGATTGTATTTTGTGAAAAGAAGAAAGTATGATGCCATTTTGTGAAAAAAAAAAATGAAAATTTGAGGCTATTTTGTGAACAAACTGAAATTTGAGGCTATTTTGTGATAAAAAGAAAGTATAAGGCTAGTTTGTGAAAATTAAAGAAAAATTGTGGCTATTTTGTGAAAAAAAAAAAAAAAAGAAATTATGAGGCCATTTTGTGAAAAAAGTGAAATTTGAGGCTATTTTGTGATAAAAAGAAAGTATGAGGCTAGTTTGTGTAAAAAAAAACAAAAATTTGTGACTCTTTTGTGAGAAAAAAAGTATGAGGCCATTATGTGAAAAAAAAAATTGAGGCTATTTTGTGAAAAAACTGAAATTTGAGGCTATTTTGTGAAAAAAAGAAAGTATCAGGCTAATTTGTGAAAAAAAAAAAAGTTTGTGGCTATTTTGTGAAAAGAAGAAAGCATGAGGCTATTTTGTGAAAAAAAATAACAAAAATTTTAGGCTATTTTTGTGAAAAAAGGAAAGTATGAGGCTATTATGTGAAAAAAAACGAAAATTTAAGGCTAATTTGTGGGAAAAAAATAACTAAAAGTTGTGGTTATTTTGTGAAAAAAGGAAAGTATGAAGCTATTATGTGGAAAAAAACAAAATTTTGAGGCTATTTTGTGAAAAAACTAAACTTTGAGGCTATTTTCTGGAAAAAAAAAGTATGAAGCTATATCATTATTCACAATCTTATTTAACAAACACATCATACAACCAAGTAGGAAATCTGGAAATTTAATGATTTACATTTCATTAAAATATCGCGAAAGTTAGTTTTGTTGGAATAGTGTCTAAGGCTGCAACTATATTAGGCAAGTATTTGATCCGGTTGTACATGGTCCTTTTGGGTTGCCTTCACCATAGCAACTTGATGGATGATTTGTTAAGAGAGAGTAAATATTATAAGGAATAATATATGGTTATTTGATTAATATAAGTCATAGATTAATTGGAATTAATTTGGTGACTTAAAGAGATTAATTAAATAAGAGGGTATAAACTGTCAATTGTTTGATAGTTACACTTTAGACTATAAATCCTTATCCTAGATAGGATGGACGATTTCTAGGGCTTGGATAAGCCAAAATCGTCCATAGGGTTATCTATGGAATGGATTTGGATAGCCTTAAGAGAAGATTATCCAATTAGGGTTTAGGTTGTAACCCTTAAGGAGTCTACAAGTATAAATAGACCCTAGGGGTGAGGGAATTCGACACACCATCTAAAGTAGAGATACTCTGGCCGAATTCCTCCCCTCTCCTCTCTCCTAAATCATCTTGCTTGCTATTGGTGTTTGTAAGCCATTAGAGGAGTGACATTTGTGACTCTAGAAGCTCCAAGACAACAAGATCAACAAGGAACTCAAAGGTATGATTCTAGATCTGTTTCAATGTTGTTATTTAACCTAATTAGCCATTAGAAGTCTTGGATTCAAAGCATGTTTAATTAGAAAGCCTAGATCCAAGCATTAGGGTTTTGCATGCGCACATAGGAAAGTTCTTATGGCTAAAACCCATCAAGTTTTACACTCAAAATTCATTACAACAATAAAATGTATATCAACATACAATGGTGTTTGTACATATGTGTTTCATTTTTCACCACCTACATTGGGGTTTGGGTAACATGGTAGTCCCTAATCAAAGCTTCTATCGATACTTATAGTGGGAATCCATGGAAAGGAAAATATGAAGATAACTAAACTGCATCTTTCAATATGTGAATGCTTTATGAAGTGTGAGGGAAAATAAGTCTTTTTTGATTTGAGGGAGCAATCAAGAAACACCATGTGACCTCTATTAAAGCCCGATAATCAAATATTCAAACAGATTCAATATGGCATAATAAGTTGACCAAAAGCAACAAGAAAGCATTGATGGTATATATTTGACGGAGAGTCAACTAATCAGCCGGACAACAACGCCACCTTCTGAACCTCCCTCTCTTTTAATGATAGCGAAAATCTTCTCAACAAGCACTCTCAAAGACCAAGATTTTTTTGGATTTCGTAGTATTGCAATCAAAGGTCAATGGGCAGGAGACAGAAAGTAATGTAACTTTATAGTTGAATAAAATTTTTGGCATTAAATAGGGGAAAATATTACCTCTACTTCATGGGATTGTAAGAATGACTTCTTGTCACCTGAAGGAGACCTTAGTATATGAAATAAAAGTTATAAAGAACAAAGAAAAAGTGTGTATGACACATACCTAATGGGGGAATTTGTTAAAAGGGGCAGTAAAAAGGTGAAGCATATAATATCTTATATAAAAGTCACCCTCTCCCTGTAAAGACACTTGATTACCAATCACAAACCAAAAAAAATCAAGAATTCATTTCCTAAGGTAAAGAAGATCAAGATTAGAAGCCTTACAAGCAAGCCTAAAAGAAGAAAAATGCTTTGTCCATCGCTTGATAAAAGGTCAGTGTTCATCAAAGTTGGTTGAACCTCATTTGCATGTAGTTTTGCATGAGGAATTGGTGTTAAAGGAGTCGCAAGAGTTTCTAGAGCCTCCTGAACCTTTGACAATAAATCAATATATATACCATAAATATGATTAAAAAGAACACATAAAGAGGTGACACCTGCCACACACACCCATTGTTCCAAGGCTATGTGTTCTTAGTTAGGCTTCCTAGACACTTACTTGTAGTTTATATTTGTTATGGACTATTTCTTAGATGCATATATATATATATATATATATATATATATATATATATATATATATATATATATATATATACAATAGAAATGCACCAACCAGAAACAATGTTGCAAATGAAAAACCATTTGAGATTCACATAAAAAGAATGAAAAAATAGTGTTATTATAGGAGATGACATTTTATCGAACACCTGGTGGGCTTCTTTTAATATAGTTGCAAATGTAAAACCATTTGAGATTCACAAATCATTGACATTCTGTGGAAACACATACTCAAACTGAATCATAAATGAACTTTGAGTCAAATGAATTAGTCTCCATTCTTCAAAGATTAAACTTCCAACAATAGGATATATAATAACTTTTGAGTTCTAGTTTTCTGAATTTTAGAGATTTAGATTAAATCAAAAAACTTGGAAGAAAAACTTAAGAGAGGAAATCAACTAACAGTTGGTTGTCTTGAGAAAAGGAAGCCATTTGAAATATGATAAAAGGAAATCGTTGTCTCGCTCGGTCGTTAAGGTGTAAGCCCGGAACCAATTGAAATAAACCCACTTTGCCTATCTTCGTAATAGGAGTCAATGATTCAATAAGTTGAGAAGAATCGAAGGAGTCGCATCTTTTTCCCATCTCCGTAATAGGAGTGGAAGAGAGTACATCCTGATCGACCATGTCGCCGATGTTACTGCCCCCATGTAGAGTACAACCTGATAACCGATAAGGTCTGAGGAAGAAAACAAGCTCATTTAACTTGAAACGACGTCGAATAATTCTTTTGGGTACCTAACTTGTATACCCTTAAGGATATATTCACTTTTCCCATATATATATATGACAAAACTTCAAAAATGGTCCTTGTGGTTTTCGAAAATATCAAGTTTAGTCCCTAAGGTCAAAAAACCTCACAGATGGTCCCTGTTGTTTCAAAACTTTTAACATTTGGTCCTTTTCGCTAACTTCATTAGCTTTTGGCCATTAAGTGAAGGGCAATTCTGTCATTTCACTTCTACAGGGACCATTTATGAAATTTTACCATCTTTTTTTTTAAATAGCAATAAATATAATTATTTAATATTAAAGGGTCCCACCTCTCTCT